TGAAAACAAAAAAGAAATCTTTCTACAGGTCCCATAACTCATAGGTTTTTACGTATGATGCATCAGACAAGTGGTTCCACTCTTCTTCGGAATCTTCATCGGGACTATAATCTGTCAGGGAATTATCCAGGGAAGCTGTCTGAGAATTGCCTTCATCAGTCTCCTCGTCTGCAGAATTTGTTGGACGTTCCGGAACCGCACAAACAAATAATGCTGATTCTGATCCCAGTTCATTCGGTTGCTCAATTTCCGTAGCATTGGGAACATCAGAAACGTTTATATTACGATACACATGTACTTTTCGTCTGAAATGTCCACTTTTTAACGTTTTTTTTCCACTTCTGAGGACCGTCCATGTTATTTTGATTTTATAAAGTATTTTTGATGATCAACACATAACTTTTTAGCCCTTCTAAACTTTAATCAAGCCCTTTATAAGCACTCAAGAAAGTTTTAATGCTAGGCTTTCTAAATGCATGTAAGCACTAAATCATTGCACTATATGCGCATACTAAGCTTTCTGTAATGCTTATTTTTATTAATGCTTCTGTGCACTAGCAATGCTAATATGAGGCTCATATGCATTAAAAATGCTAATATACGGCTTTTTGGCATTAGGAATGCTGAATTAGTGCCAATATAGAGCTATGGCTTAATGCTTATGGTTACTTGGGTATGATAGCTTATTTTGCAAGTGTCGGAAGCAAAGGCAGTCAATTATCACAGAAAATGTGTCGACTACCGTGACCGCTTACAAGACTGGCACGCAGTGTTCCTTTACGCATTGAACAGTCACCGCGTAAACCAAGATGCGCGTGCAATTCTACATATGCCTACGATCTTAAATTTCTACTGATATTATCCAATGCATTTACGTACCCGGCTCTTATTGCTGATGTTATTCCTCCAGCATATGTGCGCTTACCTCTCCTCCCATAATTCTCTCCAGCTTATCAGCTCAGCTCCGGATCCGAATCATCGGCCGAATAATTCACTGACATGACAGCTCTCGGACCCGTCCAGCTGTTCGGACGTTTCTCTCGATTCTTCACGTTTCAGCTCCGCATCCGACGATGATCTAGAGCTGAAGCCGGGAATAGTGGGAGCAATTGTGCAGGAGAATCAAGGTGTATTCCATCCTGCACTCCAATTGCACGCGCGGGGCGAGATTTTGCGAATGTACGAGAGGGAGAGAAGTACTAGTTGTTTCTCTCACTCCAACGCAAATTCTGCTCCACTCCGCTAATGCACGCTCAGATCTGAATACGCCATTAGACTTATGATACCAGTGGGCTGTTGAGCTGCGGTTCCTAAAAATGAACCACCGGTCATCAGCTGATTATAATGAATCGGGTCTATAGAACAGCTTGGGAGCCCATTTCTAGATCTGAGTTGGTGATCTGGAGCTGAAGCCGAGAATAGTGAGAGCAAATCTGCTGAAGAATTAACATCAGAACTAAAATCTGTATGTAGACTGGATTGCATAGCTTGAGAATAGGCGTAACATCGTGTAGCACGATGTCGATCATATCATCGCGTGTGACATGTGTCAAAATTTCTATAATTTAAAGGTGAGCTGAAGAGCTGTTCAACAGAATCGACTCCCGTTAATGAGCTGAACGGGTCTGATCCGCTCAGTCAGATGAGCTATTTTGCCCACCTACCATAAGAACAAATACAATCAATGTTTTTCAATACAAAATCCAATTATTTTAATATTATCATATTTTTCGGCCCAGTTGATCAAAAGTTATAAGTTTTTGAAAAAAGGCATTTTTGAAAAAAATCGATATTTTGGACAACCCTAACATGGAAATGATCACCCCAATGACAAAATAAAAAAATACGGGTCTCATATTCTCGAGGATATTCTGCAGTAAAGACCTGTATAGAGATCGAAGCGAAGTGAAAATCTCATACAAAATACTATATTTTTCACCTGCGTGAAAAACGCAATTTTCAAATATTTCACTTCGCTTGGAACTGTAAACAGAAGCGATCCATTGAAATCGAATTTTGTGGATTGCATCTTCTTCGCTTACTAAATTTAATTTTTTTTTACTCATGCAGCTGCTCGTGAAAAAACGGCAGCTAAGCGAAAAGTTGACGTTTCGAGGAAGAGCGTATCTGTCAGATTTTCACTTCACTGGAGGTGTAAACTCATCGATTTCGTTTCACGTGAACTTTGATTTGTTTTTTCCGTCGATCTTGTTTTCCGTGCTGAGCACCAATGCTACCGACGTGCCAGGAAGGCAGCTCCCACACCTGGACCCTACCTATCGACCCATCACCTCATGAACCGGGGACCAACGGCTTTACTTCCCATCCGAAGGAAGGCGTGATCAGAGATGTTATGCCTCAGAACATCCCGGCGGCGCCGACTGGGATTGAACCCAGGCCTGCTGGGGTGAGAGGTAATCACGCTTACCACTACACCACCGGCGCCGTTTTTTTTTTCACGTGAACTGTGAACTGCGAAAAGAGGAAATTGGAATATGTTCCACGACCTTTTTCGCTAGCGAAATTTCAAGGTTTTTAACTTGCTTCAAATGTCACTTCACTTTGATCTGTATACTAGCGAAGACATCATATCAAGAAGATTGGCAACTTTGCCAGAATCCAAGCGACAGATACAATAGCGCTGCGCTTGAGTGAAGGTGGAAGCAACGCATAGAAAAATGAGCAAATACACAAACCTTTCTTCCGAGGATGTAATCTTTACTATCAAATTCGTTCGAAGTATTTACCATTGAGCGGCAGATGACGCGATTGTACCTGTCTCATAGCGTTCGTATGAGAACATGGAAGAGTTGCCAGTCTTCTTGACTTGTTGTCTTCGATACTAGACTTAAGGAACAAAACTATAAATTGTTACGAAATTCTGAGAACCACTCGTTCTCACTCGTTTTGCTAAGGATTTTTTTTTTTTTTTTTTTTATTATAGAGATTTTTAGCCATAGGCTAGTTCATCTCTTTGCTAAGGAATGGCTGTATATCGACGTTTGACGTTAGTGTTCGTGAGATTGTGTTTGGAGATATCTATAGAGATTTTCACGTCTGGTTGGATTGGTGCGCTTGCACAGTGTTAGTGAAAATTTGAGGAAAATACATAACAAATTGCTGTCGAACTCATTTTGACAGATTCAATTTCATATTTTTTTAGGATAGTCATAGGAAAATAATTAACAACTGTTTGTTCTCAACCAGTTCCCAAATTTATTTTCTAGATTCGCGCCGAACCCACCATTCTGATACTACAAATGAGTGCTATACAAATGTAGTAGTACCAACCGGTGGAAACTAACGATTAAATTGGCTCACTACTTGACTAGCCTATTGGTCCCAAGCAAATCGATTAACGTACCCTATTCTAGTCAAAATTCTAGTACCAAACTATGTTTGTTTTGGTTCGCTATGAAAGTTTGACAGATAAAATGAGGGGTTTGTGGATTTTCCTATGTTTCGAGGAGTGCATCGATTAGCTTGGGACCGAAGAGAGTACCAGAGCTGAGCCAAAAAGTGGAGCACGTTTCTTCGGGACCTTCTAGTCTTAAAGTTACCTCTATGGTTGTACGGTGTACTTTTTATGTCTGTACAAGGTCTTAACGGAAATCATGATCCTGCTCCAACAACAACTTTACACGGCGTTATACCGGTAGTGTGCGTGTGTTTTTTTCCGTGTTGGGTATTTTGATCACTGCCACCAGTACTTAGATCTATTGTGATATATTCCCCGTTTTAATATTGCTTTATCAGCATGTCGTATCACCATTTTATGATGCGACCGACATAGACTGACCGAAAGCATTTTCCCAGTAAGGTATTACATTTCGAATGAATTGCACTACTTGGCTGGGAACTGAATTCCAAATATCAAAGGGTTCTGTCAGCCCCTTATCCAGAAAAATACGCCTCTTATTGAAGATTGCTGTACAAGAGCATAGCAGGTGTCTTCTTTTTCTATGCCACATAATCGACACATGTCATCTTGAAGTTGTGAGCGTTGAACACGTTTGTATGAGAGAAACAAAACTCGAGTTCATTTTAGAGCTTCGAAAATGTAGAGCCCTGATGCTAAGCATTTACGACAGGCCCGTATTCAGTCAAAGATTATGAATGCAAAATCAGTAATCAAATTGATTTCATTGAAAGCAGAATTAGTTTTCCGTTTGATTCAACAGTGTAAAACTTTGCTCTCATTTTTGCTGTGTTAACCGTTAAGTCAACCAAAATGAGATCAAATGGAGTATTCAAAATAAATTACATCATAACAGCAAATTCTGATTCCAATATGATCTCTAACTTTGCTCGGGTAGTGTGCGGCTTTCTCATTCCCTTGAATTCCACAATGACCAGGAACCCAAAATAGGTTCACTTGGTTTTGGCAGGCCAATTTTTGGAGTGACATTGCACATTCCCATACAAGTTTAGAATTACATGTTGCTGATTTCAAAGCATTTAGTACTGCATGGCTATCAGACATAATGCAGATATTCGCAAGCAAAGTTTAGAACATGACTTCTGCTTGGAACACGGTAGGCCAGTAGCCCATAGATATTGAGATATTTATACCTGGACCTGTTACCCCTGCTCCTACACGATTATCCAATCTAGAGCCGTCTGTATAGAAGACAATTGATCCTGGACGAATGTTTGGTCCCCCATTGTCCCACAAATCGCGATCCGCTGCTGCTACATTGTAAAGACGATCGAAGTGATATTTTTTCTTCATCCAATCTTCATTTTGTAACACAATAGAATCAATATTGAACATTTTTAGGATGCTCATATGTCCTCTAAGATGTTAAAGTGTGCGTGTGTTAAACGTCACTAATCTCTATAGAGATTGCTAAAGTGTGATTGTGTCAGTGATGCGACGTTGCGACCGTACGATAAACGTAAGCAACTTCTATTAAATTTTGCCAGATAAAAATTACACTTCAAAACGAATATTAATAATCCTAATAGAATTATTACCAAGTATTTCGAACTACACTCACCTCGACAGAACCCAGTTGGCGTAGATCCAGGGCACTATCACCGTCGGCAGAAAGGCCATCCACACAAACATCAGATAGGTTATGTCAAAGTGGGCCTGGTTTTCGTACGTCTCGACCAGTGCCATCCGAGCCAACCTGTGGAAGAAGCAGAAAGAAAAAAACCATTCAGTTAAAAGTTTGAAACTAGCGATCCACTTTTTTTTCCAATCCAGAGGGTCATCTTTCGAGCAACTCGATTCCGTGTATCTTTTCTTTTTTTCTCACCGGTCCAAATTCGATCCAATTTCTAATGCAATGCCCGTGATGCGATTGCATCTCTTTTACTCGGAAAACTACGAGTCGTCATTCCTGGAAAAGTAGTTTCCGCTTACGAATGGCAGTTCATAAACTATCACTTTCCGGGTTTCCCCTCGGTTCTGCATGTAAACAAACAGCAACAACAACAATTACAAGCGAGCAGATACGATTTCACCGAAATAGTACAGACACATAGTGGCGCATTTCCATTTTCGGTACGGAAACAATTCGATGTTGGATTTCTGCGAACATGCTTCCCCCGGTTCACTGAATCGCACTAACAAAGTGGGACTTGATGGCTTCCTGCGCACCGGATTGTTTAATATGGTGAATGTGACGCCTTCGCCTGAATTTATACAACCAACCGTGCATAGATTTGCGATCCCGATTTGATGGCTTCAAGCAAGCCAGGCTTAAACGCAATTAAAATGCCGTCCGTCACCACCAGGCGTCATATTTATTCAACAGTTCCTTGCCGACCTCTTCCACCCGGATTGCACGCCCAGCGGCTGACACTGACAAAATGCATAGAGAAACTGCAAGTACAGAGTTTCCATTTTTTAATATGATTCGGGATGAAAAGCGTCCCCCAGCGGATGTAGCAAGTCCAAACCGTTCATAAAAGGCGCGATGATTCCTATTTCTTCGACGGACCGTGACCTTGATGGGAGGAAAAGCGTGAAATAACATTCAACTTCACGACGGTGTGGTTTCAACTTGGTCCCTCCATAGAGCCCGGGGGGAGCTGTTTTACAATTCCGAGCAGGTCATGTACGCGATCCAACAGCATCGCAGTGCCCAGATGTTGATGGTTGTGGTGGTAATCCAGGACATTGTCGTTTGCAAAAGATGTGTAGGATATTGCGTTCCTTGCTGTCCGGAGGATGCAATGCGCTTTTCCGGCATCGGACACCACATTTTTCGTTGCACCATCCATTGCTGCCAGTGCGAGATGATGGTTTGAATTTCAATCGAGTAGTTCTTCTCGCTGGTAATGATAACGAATGACGTCCAATCTACATCCACAATGTGGTTCATCTGGTATGGTAATGGCAGGGCCAGATCTTGAAGAGCGATTTTTTATTCTCTGGAGAAACGTCAAAGCTAAGCATGCACGCAAAGTAGTGCTAATAATCAATTTTGAGGTAGATCCCGTCTACCGAGTAAAATTCATAGGAGATCGAAGTAGGCCACGTTGAAAAACTGACGTGTTTTGATTTGGCTACTGTTTTTAAACTTAGGGTTGTGTGGAGAAGTTGTCTGATTTTGAGCAAAGTCGGTTAGGGTTGATGCATATATTATGTCACGCTCCAAGGGGGAGGGGGGGGGGGGGGTCTAAGATTTTGTGACAAGCAATGCATTAGGTATAGGAAAAACGTCACGATAGAGGGGGAGGGTGTAATTTTTTGCTCGATTTAGCGTGACATAATGAATGCATGACCCCTTAACTAAATGAAAGCAAATCGATATTAAAGTTCGCAGTTCCTATTATAATGAAAACACATTTTGATTTCAATTGTCACGACATTAGTCATTACAAGAGCCACATGTGAAAAGGGCATACAAGTTTTTTGTAAACAAACATTTGTAGGCCCTTTTCTCGCAAACCGAGGGGCACCCACGCAAACCAACAACATCATCGGGAAGAGTATAGTTTCCTCTACCCGGTGATGATGATGGTTTGCGTTTGTGTCATATGGGTGGCGAGAAAAGGACATAAGAAGGTTTGTTTACAAAAAGCTTGTATGCCCTTTTCACATGTTGTTCTTGAATTAGGAGTATTCAAAATAAGTTACATCATAACAGCAAATTTTGATTTCAATTTGATCTCCAGCTTTGCTCGGGCATCTATTTGAACTTGATATGGTAGTTGATAGCGGATTTCAAGAGATGATCGTTGAACGCGATCAGATGCGGATTTCGGAATACACCATGGCGGAAGATAAGAAGAAAATAGAAGAGAAAGAAGATCTATAAAGACCAACTAATGTTGGTAAACTCCAGCCTGTATTATCTTCGGATTAAAACCCGATAAAAAATGACCAGCTGCACTTTGCAGATCATCCAAACAGGGACGGTATTTTCCTACACACTTAAAAATAATTAATTTTACACGAGACGTAATCCATCTTTGACGTAAATTATGGAACATAAACAAACATGTCATGTAAAATTAAGTGTTCTCAAACCGAAACATTCGTAACTCGACGAAAAGTACGATTGATTGAATTTATTTTCTCGTTTCTTTCAACTGCTTCTTATGTAATTTGGGCCGCTTGTATGTGTCGGTCTTGTAACCGTTGGTTCCAATGTTTACTTGTTGGCTCCTCCACAAGTCCAAAACCTCCCTCCCTGTAACAGTCCCACCTGAAATAAAATAAATAAACTAACACCCTGGAACAGTGGCTCTCATTTGTAGGCTTAGCAAGTGAGAGAGCCTGTTCCACTCTCACGATTCTCCATGTGTGTGTTGCAAGTGTCAAGGAGTTTGAACGAACGGGCGAAATACTTCCCCGCCAAGTTGTTTAGCTCAATCACAGGTGGCGCATGAGGAAGAAAAATGAACCAACCAGGCCGAAATGTCAAACTTCGGCATTTCATCGGCCCTGTGGTGCCGAAAAGCAGTTAAAATAAATAAAATTCCAAAAGCAGAAGGCTATCTAGTTTCAACTCTCGAAAGGAGAAGTGCGCGCGAAAGTCAAATTGATTATTTTGCGACTTCGGTGAAAGTGGCGTGACCATTTTGCTAGCAGGTGGTCAAAGGAACAAAGGAATTTTCATTGTTCTAGTGGTAGTCTTTTGTGTAAATTGTAAGTTCCAGTAGTGGAGAAGAAAGGAACAGTGTTCTAATGTAATTTTTGAATGTTTTTTGAAACTAGATTAAAAAAATTAGAAGGAGAAAGGAGATTCCTACGAATCGAAGTAAAGGAACATAAGGAAAAAGGTAAATTCTATACTAGTCTATGTAACAAAAATAGAGGAAAGAGAGTGACGTCACAATAAGGGTCTAATCTGTGATGGGCAGGTCCAGGAAGTGGGCCTTTTTTTTCTTTCTGTTTGGAATTATTTGGCAGGATAAGGAGAAATACGTGGACGACTGGCGTGAGTGGCAAACGGCGTATCATACTCATCGGTAGACCGCCGATAACGTCCACCAGTCATCTCGGTGGAACCTCCAGACAGTCCCAGCATTGTTCATGCCGGCATCCTTTGTGCGGAGCACAAATACCAACCGCACCGCCGTCGCCATCCCGCTGCCTAGTTCCCCATCGTTGCTGGCAGTACGGCAACCGCACCGCCGTCGCCATCCCGCTGCCTTGTTAACCATCGTTGCTGGCAGTACGGCCACCGCACCGCCGTTGCCATCCCGCTGCCCAGTTCACCATCGTTGCTGGCAGTACGTCTATCACACCGCCGTCGCCACCCGATTGTCCAGTTCATCGTAGTCGTTGGCCTTTCGGCGATTGCCTCGCTGAAGCTAGTTTCCATCCGCAATGAATACCGGCCAGCAAACAACATCATCAGCTCCACCACCCGTCGACAACCGCCACCATCAGTAACACAACCAGATCACCAACTACATCATCAACCAGAAGCAGTATGCCCGCAGGTAACCCTTTTCAATGTGACGTCACAAAATAAATGTTAAAATGAAAAGTTGCATCTATAGCTTTATTAGGTAGAGCACGTCCTTAGGTCATAGCACTTCCACTTCTTGTTGTTGTTCCGCTTCTTTCTGGGCTCACAAAGGAGCCATTAAGCCTCGCCGTTCCCAAATTGATTTGGAAAGCCTTCGTATTAGTTTTTTTTTAAGCACACACTTTGGTACAGCCTGGTGGGTTTATTTGTGTCTGCATCTAGCAACACCTTTGAAAGGGTACCTTCATTTCACGTGTTCCTACTTGATGTCAACGACCTTACGTGGATGAGAGTTATAAGCAGTTTAACGACCCTGATATCCTTCAATCCCTGAGCTAGCAGGTAACAGTCTCAGGGCACGGAAATTTACATGACTTTTTGGTAGTGTGTATATCTAATAAATGGCCGGTCACATCTTCTGGAGCCTCCCCTCTCCCCTCAAATGCTACGTCATTTATGCATGTTCCCTTGGAAGAAAGTGGGTTTGAATCAATGAGTAAACGCAATTAGTGACGTCACTTATTGCTTGTATCGTACAGTGGTTTCACTCACACATCTTAATAGATTGCTTCACCTCGGTAATCCAGCTCATTGGGTTTAAATGCTCCAGCAGCGTTGCCAGATTGTTCTACAGCAATTATCGGTATGAAAAGTTTTAAAAAATCGGTGTTTACTATTTTAATTAATTTTATATTTTTGCTGTTTTTTAAAGCGAAAATTTTAAGTTTTGGACTATGATCGGAAAATTCCGGAAAAAAACCACCCAGAGAAAGAAGAAAGAAGCTCTCTTGGGCGAAGTTTGAGAAAATCCGGTAACTTCCAAGACAAGAATTGAGAAACTTCTGGCAAACAATTAAAGAAACTATCGAAAAAAAAATCGAATATCACATCCAAAGGAAGCCAGAAAAGTTTCGGAAATCAACACTGTCCAACATTTTTTGTTGTCATCGCAGATTTTAATTCGCCGTTTTTCGTTGTTTTTTCGCGCTGTTTATTATCGGACGCACTCGTTAGTGCAATATTTGGTCAAAGCATATCGGAATCTAGTGTTGTTTACCTAGTTGTGCCACAGTGTTTTATGCAATTGTGTTTTTGTTAAATACGCATTGTATCATCGTAATCGCTCATACCTACTTACTCGCTGTCTCTCTTCCGGAGCGCCATCTACCAGTAAACTTTGGAAGCTAGCACATCTCAGT